AGCAGAGTATAGAGCCTTGGCCCTCACTTCATGTGAAGCCCAATGGCTTCTATACCTGCTGCATGACCTGCACATATCTCATTCTTCTCCTGTTTCTTTATTTTCAGACAACAATTCTGCCATCTCATTAGCCAAGAATCCTGTTCACCACGAGAGGACCAAGCACATCGAAATCGATTGCCACCTCATTCGGGAAAAGCTGTCCAAAGGGGTCATCAGCCTTCATTATGTTCCATCCCACGAGCAGCTTGCTGATGTGTTAACAAAAGCCCTTGGCCCTCAACCATTTCACAAGTGCATTTCCAAGATGAACATTTCTAACATCCATGTTCCTCTTGCGGGGGGATATTAGAGTATAAAATAAGTGTTTTACCACTTGTATTAGTAAAACACGTTTTCTCTTATGTCTAGCACTTTTAGTTATTTTCCCTTAGTATAAATATTGTATCTAGGGTTTTCTGTAGTTAGTTTTTCATTATTCATTTTTCCGCCTCCTTCTCTCATCTCTCTCTTGTTCTCTCGAGAATACACATACAATCTGTAATGTTCAATCTTTCATCAATGATCAATATATTTTAGTTTGTGTTCTTCAATTTCGATCTGTATTATGCAATTTGAGTAATGGATCATGAATAGCTTACGCTGTGGTGAAAGAAACATGGCTTCTCTCTCAGCAATTCTTCTGACATGGCTTCTCTCGCAGCAATTTTTCTGGTTTTTCGATAGTGAGGAAAAGAGAGAAAGAGGGCTTTTGATTTTCCATGGAGGAGGGCTTTAGACTGTGTTTAACGGACCGGTGATTCCACCCACAACCCGGACCGGTTAGCACGAATTAAATCGTTTCTTTCATTAAACCGGATTATTATCGAATATAAAAATCATTCACCTTTACAAGTGTCGCAGTTGCAGGTTGCATTTGCAGCGTTAACAAGCAAATGGTTTCAAAAATCTACTGGAAATGCAAATCAAGACTTCATCTACTTTAGCCAATTTGCTGCAAATCTGCATCGATCACAGGGCCCACAAGGCGGCTAAACTCGTCCAAGCTCACATCTTTCGAACCAACCAGCTCTCCGACACCTTCCTCGTAAACCGTCTCATCGAGCTCCACTCAAAATGCGGCGACACGGCCGCCGCCCGCCGCCTGTTCGACCGGATGCCCCTCAGGAACATATTCTCCTACCACGCCGTTTTAGATCATTACTGCAAAATGAATGACCTGGGCAGCGCGCTCCAAGTGTTCGATCAAATGCCCCTGAAGAACTCTGTTTCTTTTAATCAGATAATCAGCTTGCTTGCTCGAAATGGGCAGAAGGAGGCTGCCTTGGAGATCTATCGCTCGATGAGATTGAGCGGGTTCGGGCCGACCCGTTTCACGCTGGCGAGCGTTCTGAGCGCGTGTGGGGGCTTGAGCAATAGAAATTGTGGCAGGGAGTGCCACGTGGCAGCCATAAAGCTCGGGCTCAGTTCGAATTTATACGTGGGTAATTCGTTGTTGTGCATGTACATGAAGTGTGGGTCCATTCTTGATGCGATTATGGTTTTTGAGGACTTGCCGGAACATAACGAGGTGTCGTTTACTGCGATGATGGAGGGTTTGGTGGGAGCTGGCCGTTTAGATGAAGCGTTCGGCATTTTTCGGTTGATTCATGGCGAGGGGCTCATCGACCCTGTATCGATATCGAGCGTATTGGGAAGTGTTTGTTCCAAAAGTACAGTCGATAAGTTTCTTTTATGCGATGATAAAAATGAAATGGGGCGTGAGATTATTGGGAGACAAATTCACGGGCTTCTTGTTAAACTAGGATTCGAGCAAGACCTGCACGTAAGCAATTCATTGCTCGATGTGTACGCAAAACACGGATTTATGCAATGTGCGGAAATTTTATTCCACAGTATGACAAAAGTTAATGTTGTCTCGTGGAATGTTATGATAGCTGGATATGGAAAACAGGACCAAATTGAAAAGGCAATCGAGTCTGTTAATAGAATGCGGAGTTGCGGATTTGAGCCTAACGAGGTCACTTACGTCAGTTTGCTTACCGAATGCTTGAGAAGTGGGAACGTCGAAACAGGATTCGAGATATTCAATAGTATACCTTCCCCGAGCCTCACCTCGTGGAATGCTATACTCTCTGGATTTTCACAGAACGAGTGTTATAATGAGGTCGTGAAGCTTTTCAGGGAAATGCAGTTCGAATGTGTGGGGCCTAACCGAATGACTTTATCTGTTGTTCTCAGTTCTTGTGCTGGAATCGGGTTTCTTGAAGGTGGCCGACAAATCCATGCCGCCTTTTTGAAATCCGAATTTAATAGTGACTTACATGTTGCAACTGGGCTCATTGGTGTTTACTCGAAATGCGGAAGATTAGAAGATGCAAAGGGTATTTTCGACAATTTGCCCCAACACGACGTAATTTGTTGGAATTCCATGTTAGCCGGTTTAGCCCTTAATAATAATCCGTGCATAGTAAAGGCTTTTACTTTCTTTAATCAAATGTTGGTTAAAGGAATATTACCTACCGAATTTTCTTACGCCACATTACTCAATTGCTGTTCGTCACTACTGTCTCTGTCCCGAGGGAGGCAAGTTCATGGTTCGGTCGCGAAAAAGGGGCACGAGAATGATGTCTATGTGGGGACAGCTCTTGTCGACATGTACTGCAAGTGTGGCCAGGTCAGCGAGGCAAAGAAGTTTTTCGACGCGATGACGTGTAAAAGTACCGCCACCTGGAACGAGATGATAAACGGGTATGCCCGACTCGGGCGGGGGCACGAAGCCATTAATTTATTCGGAAAAATGGTTGAAAATAATTACGAGCCCGACTCGGTAACTTTTGTCGCCGTTTTAACTGCTTGCAGTCATTCGGGATTGGCCGATGTGGGATTGAGAATTTTTAACTCGATGCGGGGAGAAAATTTTGGTTTGAAGCCGCTGAACAATCACTACGCTTGCATAGTCGATTGTTTGGGTCGTGCGGGTCGGTTTAGTGAAATCGAACGGATTATTGATGAGATGCCATGCAAAGATGATCGAATTGTTTGGGAGGTTTTGCTGAGTGCTTGCAGGGTTCATGGGTGTGTCGAGTTAGCAAGAAAGGCGGCTAACGAGCTTTTTCGGTTGGACCCAAGTGATTCGGGTCCTTACACGCTTTTAGCTAATATGTATTCGTCGTTAGGTAGATGGGACGACGTAAAAGATGTTCGAAGTGTGATCGGAGAGTGGTTGATACCCAAGGAACCTGGTTATAGCTGGGTTTGAGGTGGGTTTTAACGTATATTCTTTTTACAAATATGCATATTTTTTGTAAAAACTATC